GGGGGGGGCTGTCGGGGGCAGGGGTTTGGAGAGGGGTTGGGACAGTCAGGGACAGGGAGCAGGGGGGGGTTAGATGGGTTGGGGGTTCTGGGGGGCTGTCAGGGGGCGGGAAGTGGGAGGGAGTGGCTAGGGGGCGGGGCTACCCCCCCAATGGAGTGTCCTCTTTTTTGAAAGGTCAGATATGGTAACCCTAGCTACAGCCTCAGCTAACGGCCATTGTGGCTTTTGGCTCCTGCATTAAGCTTCAGAGGTCCCAGGTTTGATCCCGCCCAACAACCGGGGTCTGTCGGTGTGACACTTACAAGGCAGGACGCTGCTGTTATAACCTGGTGTGAATATCTCAAAGCTTCGAGGGTTGTGTTTTGAATCGATGGGGGTTGGGTTGGGGGAGTGACGAGCCTAGTGGGGGAAGGTCTGATTCTGGTGCCTGGTTTCAAGCCGCAGCCAGGGCATAGCGCCATAAAGGGAGTGAGCTGGTACTTACCCACTCAGGCTGTGGGTCCGCTTTAAGGAGCCGGAAGGCATGGTCGATGCCTGACCCTTGGTTGTAGAAATCGACGGCCAGGGCAATGGCCTCTTCATAGCTCAGCGTCTTGTGTTGAGAAGGCACCGCGGTGGCTGCGGCGGCCACAGTGACCAGCAGCAGGACGCGCCGGCAGCAGGTCTCCATCCTCGGGCCCATTGGCGGCAGTGCCAGCGGAGTGCCATCCTGCCGCCTGAGGGAAGCCCTTTTATACCTCGCTCCGCGATGGGGAGATTCGTGACTCACTGTTTATGTCCTTGGGCTCCCCAGAAACCGAGGCTTTTCCTGTTGTTTACAGGAAATCTCCCTTGGCCAATCTGCTGGTACATGCAAAACAAGAAGATCGGCGCAAACAAAGGACAATGCTGGGGCTGTGTGTATTGCTAAACTTTTGTCTTACTTGGCATGGACAAGCAGCTGCGAAGAAAGAAGGAACAAGTGGACGTGCAGCTCCCTGCGACATGTTTCATTTATTATTAGCTCCTAACTCCCAGGGTCTGGGTCAGAGATGCCCAGCAGCGTGGTGTAGCACCACTTCTCCCCAACTGCCATCTTGTTCTAGGCGGTCTCAACTGTGCCCTCTGCAGCAATGTCTGCCTGAGCCTGCCGAGAGCCTGAAACAACAGCTCCTGCCCCATTCATTGCAGTGCCGAACTAACTCAGGGGCCCAGTGACGATCATTTTCATGCCAACTATGACGCTGCAGTTTGGCATCACAAGTGGGTGTTGCTTAGGAGATACCACTTATCCCCCCGCCCCAACTCAAGGGAAAGAAACTGCAAAGGGCCTGATTTAGATTGTAAGCTCCTCAGGGCAAGGACTATATCATAGTGTGTGTCTGTGTGTGTGTACGCAAGGGGGCCCTGATCCTGACTGGCCCTGTGATGGGATACATATACCCCATCCCAGCTGTAAAAGGGTTAATGAGAGGCCAATTAACCCAGCGGGGGCAGCCCCATGAGTCCCAGCTGGGAGAGGAGTGGGGTGGCCGCTCTAAAGGCAGGGAGTCTGGAGCAGGGAGAAGCTCTACAGTCACTCTCTGAGACTAGAGTGGAGAGATCAGGAGGGAGCCCAGGGTAAGAGTGGGCTCTGCCGGGGAGTCTGGGAAGAGGCCAGGAGAGACATGGAGCAGGCTCTGGTGATGAGCCCCGATAATGAGGCAGGATCTGGACTTGCAGGGAGAGACGCCTGGGAGGTTTTCCACTGAGGATCGGGGGGATGACAGGTCAAGCCCAAGGAGGGCAGAAGTGGGTTTGTTTATACTTTTGTTTGGGGGGTTTGATGGGGTATTCCAGGGGGAGCCCTGTGCATCCTGGCCCTGGCAGGACAAACAGAGAGATCCTTGCTGACACCCTTGGGAGGGAGAAGTCTAGAGGGAAGCAAAGCAAGGAGTCTGGTGTGATCCTTGACTGCCTCTGCTAGGGTCACTGGACTGGGAGCCAGTGTAGAGGATGGGCCTGGGTTCCCCTACCAGCCTCTGGTAGGGTGGCGTGAAGCCCTGGGAAAATCATCTACCAACCATTGGGTCCAGAACCAAGGGTGGCAGAGGGGTCAGGCATTTGTTTTTCTTGGACTGTCTGTTACCCCAGAAGGGGTGGGATGGCTGTGACCTGGCCGGAGGGCCGAGTCATGAAATGAGGTAGACCACCACAGGGACTGGAGCAACCGTCCCATGGGGACATTAGAAGAGGAAAGCCTGGTATGCCATGCCCAGCCACAAGGGGGCATGCCAGCAGCAGGATCCTTCCACGGTCCTCTAATCCCTACGTGTCATGACACCAATCATACAAAGCATCAGCTGCGTTCAGAAATCTGCACACAGTGATTGGTGACCGTGTCGCTGTGGCATCAGCCTGTGCACTGCAAACCATGGATTTTCGCATGCCAACCACCATTTAGACACCCCGCTGGCCACCTTGCACTTGCCACCCCGATTTAAGCGTGCAATCCCTGGACGTGTGGGCAAATTAGATGTGCAGTCGCGCCAGCATTACTGCAGGCTGCCCTGGGCTACCCAGAAGACCCATATGCATCTGAACATAGATGGGGCCTGTTGCTGAGCTGGGGGCAGGTCCCAGGCTCTTACATAAACATGGAAGTGACTACTGGCCCTGGCCTTGCTGTAGTAAACTGGGGGTTTCCATCTAGTTTTGAGAGGTACTTTCACATCATGGGCAACTTCCATGTGGTTAAACAAAGGTTCCCTCCCTTCCTGCCCAGACGTTCTTCTTCCAGTAGTTTAGTTATAAGGGCAAGGCAGGGAAATGTCATGCTCTGATATTATTTATCCCCTGGCTCTGAGCACCCTGGGCCTTTACAGTTCACGACATGGTCACTGTCCTCCCATGAGCACTGAAGGGAATGGGAGCACACGGATGAGTAAAGCAAGCAGGATCAAGCTCCTAACATGCATTTTCCCTTCTGTCAATGTGCCCGGTGTGTGTGGTCCTGTGTGAAGCAGATTATTGTGCCAGTCGCTTTGTGTGCTTTCCACACCCTAAGGTAATCTCCCATGAAAATCCCTCTTTTGATCCCCCACTGAAGCAGTCAGGAGAGGGACCCCAGAGAGGGGTAAGGAGATGGGGGGATGGGAAGGATCAAACCACAGCAGAGATGTGTCGTTAATGAGCCAATCAAAGGGCAGGTTGCCAGGGTTCTCCAGAGCCCACCCTTACGGGAACTCCCAGTGCCCCACGTCCGTATCTCAGAGCTGGGCTGACTCCCAACTCCCCTCGCTTTGTGCACGGATCACACACACACACACACCCCGGACGGTATTTTCCCCCATGCCAGGAGCTGTTCGCCCTTCACCACGGTCCCTCCAGGAGTGAGCTGCTGGACCCTTAGAGCCCCCGTGGGCCGTAGCAGTGTGTGGCAGTAATCACAGAGCCCAAACCTGACCTGGAGCCGTGGGATCCTGGGAAGTAGGTGGTGAGGGGGACGGTTAACGGCTGGGAAGGGAAGCGGGAAAAGACAAAGCCACATTGGAATGAGTCTCTGGGCTGAAGATAATGGACACCCTAAAGCTAAACCATAAATATGCTGCAGCAGGGGTAGAACCTGCACCCTTGGCCTCCGAAAACACAGGCTTCTGCCACGTGAGCGAAAGGAGAACGTCTATTAACCCTCACCGCCAGGGCTTAGACCCCAGGGCCATGCACACACGCCTAGTCATGCCCCCGTTGAAGTCAGGTGTGGAGAGACCCACCCACTTCAGTGGAAGCAGACTTGGGCCTGAGGCATCAGTCGTGGCCTGGGCTGCTGTGTGGGGTGTCAACGCAGCGCGCCTGCAAAAGTGGCTTCTCTGGGAGCAATAACGCAACAAGGTGTCACTCAACCAATACAAACCCGCTTGGGACAGCAACACCTCGTGCCCTGCCACGCCTGGTAAGCCCGTGACCGGGCGGGTCTTGTTAACTGTGCTCACAGAATGGGTTCCTGGAAGGGAAAGAATATTAACATAAGACATTTCCTAAATCTCGATCGACTGAAACAGCTCCGTGGTACCCAGTCCCTTAGGACTGGAAGTGAGGAAAGCCCAGCTAGGCCTAGAGAATGATGCAATATGATCTTACCAATTCAATCGATCCCTGCCTTCGATGGGCTAGAAATGCCCAGCTGGACCAGTGACAAATATTTCCAGAGTCAGTGAACTCCTCCAAGGATGTGAAAGGAAAAGAAATAAGTGGATCCCTTTGAATAAGCATCCAAATCATTGCAAGCCGATCTAGACCAGGGATCGGCAACGTCTGGCCCGCGGCCCGCCAGGGTAAGCCCCCTGGCAGGCCGGGACGGTTTGTTTACTTGCCGCGTCCGCAGGTTCGGCCGATCGTGGCTCCCACCGGCTGTGGTTCGCCGCTCCAGGCCAATGGGGGCTGCGGGAAGCGACACGGGCCGAGAGATGTGCTGGCTGCGGCTTCCCACAGCCCCCATTGGCCTGCAGCGGCGAACCGCGGCCAGTGGGAGCTGCAATTGGCCCAACCTGCGGATGCGGCAGGTAAATAAACCGGCCCGGCCTGCCAGGGGGCTTATCCTGGCGGGCCTTGTGCCAAACATTGCCGATCCCTGATCTAGACCCTCAGAAGCGACCCCAGCGGTGGTTTTTAACCTGCACTCTCAGCTGAAATCCCTGGAGAGTTCTGATTAAAACAATCAGTGGCACAGCGTGCAGGATCATGCTCTGAGTGTTGGTTCTTTTAGCTCTATGAGACAGCCGGGACCTGCTGCATCTAGCAGACGTGTATGTAACACCTGCTGCGCCTGGAAACCCCTCTTTTGCACAGGCCAGCAGGTACTGAGTGAGTAAGTAGCACAAAAGCAGTTACTTGTCCAGACCCATGTGATTTTTAAGTGATTGTGCCCTGAAGCTTCAAGCAGGGTGTAGGCCCGTTATGCCAGGCGCTGTACAGAGATGTAATAAATGACAGATCCTGCCCCAAAGCCCTGATCGTCTAAAAGACAAAGCGTAACAGGAGGGTGGGTCAGGCAGACAGGCTGGGGGTGGTGGAGACGGTAATAGAATTAATAGAAGGTGCCTAATTCTTAGCCAATCGAGGGCAGTGACCACGATCTGTCACCTGGCTGGCCATAACCAGGGTGCAGTTTTCTGGGCCGTGTGTGCAAACAGCTGGGCCACGCTGCAGTTGAATTGCTGAAGCCTGACTGTGCTGATGTCACTGATCAGATCAGGCAAGCTGCACCGACTGCACAGCTCCCTGCCAGCTACAGTTACATGAAGGTCCTGAGCCCGATTCTCCCGTCATTCGCACCCTTGTAAGTCCATAACGTCTGCGGCATTGCTCCTGATTTACCCCGAGGTTGCGGAGAGGGAGAGCCAGGCCCTCTCGGCAGATTTGGGGCTCTAGGGATAAAGGCCCAGGTTTTGATGCCAGCTAACAGGCCAATCTGCAGAAGCTGCCAGCCTGGAGAAGAGCGCTTAGAATTGCTCAACTCTTCCTCCGCTTCTGCTTTGAAAATGCATTGCAGACGTTTCCGCAGCCTTGTATTGAGTACATGTTTTTGCAACCCAGGGCTGGTCAAATGACAGCCTCCCTCCCCCTCCATGCCAAGTTCTAAACGGTGCAGACTGCCTCTTGTTTCCTAACATACCGGAAAACAGTTTTATGCAAAAACTAAACTTTGGGAACCAGTGTGGCAAGA